ACCATATATCAGCAAAACAATGAATATATATTTCTACACGAACTATTTTTTATTCTTTTTACAGATGGGGATTGGAAAAATGCATTTGCCAGATCAACAGGTGCATATTAAGTATCAGAGTTTTTGTTGATCTGTTCCAGTTACAACGTCACATCTGACACAGCCTCTATGATTGGGGCTATGGCTTGGTTAGTTTTGCTATATTCTACCATCACCCACCATAATTCATTCATTTTTTGAAGTGGCCATAAAATGAATTGAACGGGATGATGAGGACCACTACCCCTGCATTGTTTGTGTCTTTGAGGGTCATTCCACTTGGCATCTGATAGTGCTCCTGATTTACTAGCTTGGCCTGATGTGAAAGAAGAGCAGTTTCAGAGGTCCACTTGGACCTTCTTACCATAATGACTTTTATTGTACAAGTCAGAGAACCAATGTAAGAGTTTTTCTAGCTCCTAGATATATCCATCCCAATTATGCACTTGGGGAACTGGGAACTGACCACAGAGTGGACCCATGTACTTACTAGACCCCGGTGTGATGAACTTGTGCCTGGACTCCATTTATAACTGGCTTTCACAGGCCCCCTCTCTAACTGGGAGACTGTGTTGTGATTTTGAACCACATGATATCAGTATCAGCACTATCTTGGACCTTGTATCTTTAGGAGGTGTGAGTATCCCTATTCCCCAGTGTATAGTTACTCTGGTAAATGGCTGCAGATTCCTTGGGGAAAAGAATTAGAATTTTTTTATATATATATTTGCGATGGTGGTGGTATGGGGTCCTTTCTCAAATAGACTCAAACTCCCCTACAATTAGTGGGTCTTGGATCAGAAAACTGACTCAGATCTGGAAACTGGGTGAGGAGTTGACACCAGCCTTCTTGCCGCTCTTATTTTTGTTTGATTATACAAATCAAACAATACGTTAGTCTACGTGTATCAGTCAAGCAATACCCTGTAACACATTATCATGCCCCTAGGAAGTTCATGGACAATTAACAGTCAATTTATGCCTGTGGGTCAGGGTACCCTGGCTGCAATTCTGGCCTTGTTGTCTTTTATGATAATTATATTCATCTTGCTTCTGAAGGTTAAGTGCCACCACTTGGCCTCTGCTATTCTGGAATCCTCTATCCCCATTGATACTGGTGAACCTAGTTCCATGGCAACATCCTTTACTATCAACCCTGACTTACAGAGAACAGCCATCATTGAGTCTTTTAACCAAGACTCTCCTCTCATCCCAGAAACATAGTTAGTGGTAGGTTCTCCAGTCTCATGTTAAAATTCATTCTAATTTTTCCACCTTTCTGAATCTACTGACCCTCTCCTCAACACTCTTTATCAAGACTTCGATATCTCCTCCTCATTTGCTGTTGGCTATAATTTGTGTCCAACCTTTAAAAAGCCATCTCATCAGCATATTAGGACTGGTTCCAGATGTCTTGTGTCATGGGAGAGTGCTTCCACATCAGTAAACTCTCCCTTATCTAGCTTTATATTCCAGCATCCTCTCACCACTTTCCAATACTCTTTCTCATACATGTTCCGCTGGCTCCTGCTAGTTCATATTGGTCGGTCCTGAAATTCTCTGGTGAGAATGCTGTTTCTTCCTAGATCACGGACTGTATTTCCCTACTTGGGCTGAGGCCTGGCCCCATAAGAGTTATTGGTTGGGAGACAACAAGAAGAGGTGGGGACAGACTGTGTGGAAGACGAGCATCATCTTACTAGGCATATCCCTCTTTGAGACCTTTGCATAGTCTCTGGACAAGGAGGGGCTGCTCTCCTCTAATAGTGGGGAGGAGGCAACTTTTTGCCAAATTGGAGGTGCTGGAGAATTTGAGAGCACAGGTTCTCAGTTACATATATCCAAATGTCTCCATCCTATGTCTCAAGGTCCTGCTCATTCCCAGTGAAGGTCCAGGTCCTGACTTTAGCATAAGAGATCTGTTGAGACTTTGCAACTCTGTCACCTTTACGTTTATATCCTGAGTCTGATTTTTAGCACAGTCTATTCTCCAACTGCAGGAGATGAGGGTCTTTTTAAATGCTGCTGTTGAGGTGATAGTTGTATGACCTAACCCTGAAATTCTGTCTTGAAATGTTCTAAGGCAGTTAGCAAAAGCCAGTCAACTCTACAATCCTTGTAATTGTCCCCATATTGTTTAAGTATTAGATCGATTGCATAACATAATGCTTTCCATTACACCAGTCCCTCATCTCAAGCCACCATGGCTAAGAATATTAGTGAGTGTGATGCCATAGCATACTTGAGGTTATCATCATCCCATTCACCACTCATAATGAGGCCCTGTTGCCAAGTGACTATGAGTGATCCAGTTTCAGAAAACACCAATGGGATTGCTTTCTGGGACCACTTTTAGACCATCTGTCTTAGTTTGGATTCCCCCAAAAGCAGAGTCTGAGTGCAGGTAATTTATTTGGAAAAAACCAGGAGTGAGGAAGCATGGAGACCGAGGCAGGGAAGGAAGAAAAGCCAACATAAAGGTGCTTAAGTGAGGTTTCAGCTGTAGGTGGCAGAAGCTGGATTCACTGAAAGTTCTTAGAAGTGCGTAGAATGCCTGTCAGAAATGCCTGTCTAAATGAAGGGAGTTGAGGCATCTGATAGACAGTATATGGGGATTGCTCCTAGGACTTTAACTTCCCCAGACTTCTGGACTGGGCAGGCTCCTATAGCTTTGGAGAAGGCTCTGAGTCAGGAAAGCAGAGAGATAAGGGGATTCTTGTCAGTGTGAATCTGTATAGAACTCTCCAGGTGTGATGCAGGGCTCTGGAAGCATCTTCCATGGCCAGCTATCTGCTCATTCAGGTTTGGGGGCCTGAGGGTTGCTTTAGGGATCAAGGAAACACAGGGTTTTTATAGGCTAGGCTTATTATTTGTCAAGCAGTACACTTCTTTCAACACTGCTTATACTTCCTGTCTGTTTGCTTCTAGTCAATACCACATGAAAGTATGCCCACCCAAAGATCACCTCTGGTATTTTGTTTTTTGTGCTCAGTCATCCCCTCTCTCCTTCATTTTTATAGTGGTTATCTTTATGTCAACTGAAACAATAGGCTTCAGTCAGAAGACAACACCCTTAACTAATTTTTGCAGAGAGGCAAGTTCTTTGGGACAATCTTATTTCCTTCTGTTAGGACACAGAAGCAGGTGGCTCTTCCACCTTTGAAGCCCCACGTTTCATTTCTTGGCTCTCAAGCCGACCAAAAAGAACTACCTTCCATCCTTCCTTGCCAGCTGGCTTTGGAGAAGGTCCTGAGGTGGAAAAGCAGAGATATGCTTAGCTCTCTTACTAACCTGTTGCCATCAAGTCGATTCCAACTCATAGTGACCCTGTAGGACAGAGGAGAACTGCCCCATACAGTTTCCAAGGAGTGGCTGATGGATTCGAAATGCTGACCTTTTGGTTAGCAGTTGGGCTTTTAAGCACAGTGATCTTGCTAAAAGTAGCAAAGACCAGGCAACGCTGACCAACATTCTGAGATTGTTAAACCGTTTTCCTAGAAATACAGGCTCAAAAAGCCTACCTTCCATGTTATCACAGGAAGCAGTATTATCAGGCATTTCCACAAAGCATTACAAAGGTTGCCACCTTCTTAGCCTGTATATCTGTGTCCTGGTAATAAAGCCAGTGCCATGTATTTTAGGTTTTTGTAGTGGTGGCACCCCACATTCAGTAATCAATTTCTCTACTTGTTAAGGGCCATCCTAAGGTGTTGTAACAAAGAGATTCCAAAACATAGTAGCTTAATAAAATAGAGGCAAGTGGTTCAGGGCGAACAGCACAGCTCTACCATCATCAATACATGCTTTAAAGGCTGTGCCTATCTTTGCCGTTTCTCAGACAGAAAAGGAGGAGTCCAGGGCAAGCGTCTTCAGGGTGATGTCTCAGACTTTGCATACCCAAATTCCCCTCATATTTCATTGCCCTTAGTCACTTAGCCACACAACCTAGCTGCAGGGGAGAAGAGGGAAATGTAGTCTGTAGCTGAGTCAACTCTTTTACTAAAGGGAAGAAGATGATGAATACTGGGGACAGTTAACAATCTCTGCCATATTAACTGAACCAATCACAGTTTCTGATGGGGAGTTAATGATTTGAGAACCAGAAAGGTAGTTCATAGAGAGTAGCTGAATTACACTGGTGATAGATTACTAGAAAAGGCAAACAGGAAATCAGCCTGCCTAGGAGGTGACAAGATAATCTGCTTGCCAGGGCTCTCTTGGATCCTGAAAGATATTCCAGTTTCAATCTCCATGAAACTTGACTTCCTTTAGTTCCTGTGAAGCCTGACCTGCAGGCTAAGATTCCCATTTTCCTTGTACTTACATCTGTTCTTGTAATAACCTCCCTGGTACTTGAGCTGACCTGTACAAACTGTTGTTCCCTGTAATAAAAAGAGCCTCCCACATTAAGTCACTGTTCCTAAAAATCCAGTAATGAAACAGTATTGAGTGCCGTCCACCAGTAAGTCATGGTGCTACAAAGAGATTAAAGATTCAGTCCCAGCCCCTTGTGTGTTATTTGCATGCCCTTTATGAAATACCACATTCATGAATATGCATAAGTGATTTAATGCCTCAACTTATTCTGCAGAGAAAAAGGAAAAAGCACGCCCAATAGGGGTACTTTGGAGCCTTGGTGGCGCAGTGGTTAAGAGCTATGGCTGCTAACCAAAAGATCGGCAGTTCAAATCCACCGGCCGCTCCTTGGAAACCCTATGGGGCAGTTCTACTCTGTCCTATAGGGTCGCTATGAGTAGAAATCGACTCAATGGCGACAGGTATAGAGGTACTTTACTTAGTATCTTAGACATTTAATTGCTTAAAAATTAAAATCAGGGCCTGCTAATGTTGGGTATCTGGTAAACTTTTTATATCATTTTATGCTAATAATGTTATAAACTTAGAAACAATATATATTCCATTTCATAATACTATATATTTAAATACTTTTATTTATACAGTTTAAGAAATGGCTTAGTTTTGATGGTGCTAAAATAGGAAATCCTGAGAGATTTACATCTGGCTCATTGGCTGGTGTAACTGCCCAGACCTGTGTTTACCCGTGGAGGTATGTATTATAATAAAATTTTCACTAAAGTCATGCTTCTAGTGCAAATTATAACTCTTTGTAAATGAATCCCAAATCAGAATTTTGTGCAATAAACTGATATTTACAGCTATAGGATTTAAATCTCATATCAAGTGTCGGTTGGCGTGAGTAGACATTTTTTCTTTAAGACAAGGGTAATATTGTAGATGTACCAAGAAGATAAACAGTTTTCTTGACTGATTGTTTCATTGCTTGATAAAACCACTAACTCACTTATCAGGCAAATTCATATTATGCACCCACTGAGTTTAAGGTATGTTGCTAGGTGCTATGGGAGATCCAGAGAAGAGTCAGACATGGATCTTGATCATGGAACTTATAGTCTAGAAGGGGAGATATGACAGATGCATTGATACTGATGATCCAAAATGGAAGATGTAAATTCTAGAAGAAAAGTAAATATGAAGTTCTATGGAAATTCAGAGGGGGGAGAAATTATTTCAAGCTAGGGATTTCTTGAGAGACATGAATAGAATGTGTGAGCGTGGCTTAGAATTTGGAAACGCAGATATGATGATGAAGGAGATTTCAGATGGAGATAACAGCAAAGGAATGGAGGTTAAAAAAAAAAGTATTTAGGTTTGGACTGGACAATGGCATAATAGCCATTTATTGTAGGTAAGGGGTTGGGGCCAGATCGGAAAGGTTTTTTGAATGCAGTTTTAAGAGTTTAATTTTAATTTCTTAAAAATACGAAGCCGTTAAAGACTTTGGAGCAAGAAGCATGATCTTTATAAAATGTCTTAGAGTGGAGAGACTAGAGAGATGGGAAGACTAAATACAAGATTATTGCCATCATTCAGGGAAGTGATAAGACTTGAAATGATAGTGGCTAGGGAAAACTGGAGGAGCCAGTGGTTAACACACTCAGCTACTAACTGAAAGGTAGGTAGTTCGAACCCACCAGCCGCTCCATGGGTGTAAGATGTGGTAGTCTGCTTCCGTAAAGATTTATAGCCTTGGTAACCCTATGGGGCAGTTCTACCCTGTCCTGTAGGGTTGCTATGAGTTGGAATGGACTTGACGGCAATGGTAGGGGAAGCTGACTCATGTTAGAGCTGTAGTGAGAACTGACAGAACTTGACAGGTGGGAAGCAGGAGAAGGGGAGAAGAAGAAGATGAAGCTCTATCTGGGATCTGTGCCTGAGTGTTTGAAAGAGTTATGGCTGAGTTATATCTCTAACAGAAGCAGAAAATGGAGGAAGTAAGCTGGACTCTGGGAGATGATGAGTTCAGGTTTGCGTATATTTAATTTGAGTTGTTGGTGGGACAACTGAGTTATGATTGTCAGCAGACAGTTGTAAAATGTGATACTCAGACTTGAGAGATTTCAAATCTTGATGTGTCACGTGCAGAAAGATGTTAGTTGAAGCCATGAGATTGCCTAAGAATAAAATAAACCAGACTCAAACCCTCTTCCATCAAGTTGATTCGGACTCATAGCGACCCCATAGGGTTTCCAAGGCTGTAAATCTCTGTGGAAGAAGACTGCCACATCTTTCTTCTGCTGTTTTGAACCGCTGACCTTTTGGTTAGTGGTTGATCGCTTTAACCACTGCTCCACCAGGGCTCCTTCAACAAAAAGCAAAACGTTTAAAAAAATACTGAGAATAAAACATTTGAGAAGTCCTAAATTTAGGAAGAGGAGAAAAACATGCCAGTGAAGCAGACAGAGAAGATTTACTAAGGTAAGCAGCAAGTGCACTACCCTGAAGAGGGCAGAGAGTTTTAAGAATGGGGCTATCCAAAGTGTCTGGTCCTGCAAAGAAATCCGTAAAATAAATAGCTTCCTACTGACTATTCAGAGGCAGCCCCATCGAGATACACAGTTTGCCCAATCAAGACAAAGCTTATACTTTTTTATCTTGGCTGTTTTCAAGAGTCATTTCTCCAAGCACAGGGAAACCCCATGTATTTCAGAGTAGAACTGCTTCATAGGGTTTTCATGGCTGTGATCTTTTGGAAGCAGCACCCTTAAGTTAAATTAATGATAATTAAAAAAACAAGGAGTGAGGCTCTGTTAGGAGAATTACATTGGGCACAGGAATATTGATCATGGACAGCCTATTAGAGCCTACTATTGTTCTTATAGCCCCTGTCATGAGCACAAAATAGACCCAAATCACATTATATTAGTTTCTAGGTCTCACTGTTACTACAGTTCCCAGAGTATGTATTTTAAGCATATATATGTTTTTTACATAATGATTCTTCACTTTAACATGAACATATATTTTTTCTTAGATTGAATTTTCTCTCTGGTCACTTTATTTTGAAGCAATAATGTTGTCTCAGATGGATTTGTTTGAGAACATGTTGCCTTACAGCACATCGAAGAAGTTTGAGTTTCTATATCAATCAAAGCTATAGTGATTGATTTTATTATATTGTTTGAATAATTTAAAAAACTCTGTACTATATCTGTTGTTTATAATGTCAATTAGTGAGAAGTCAAAAGTATGTTTACGATTTCTCTTTTTTTATTTCTATGATAATTAGTAAATGTTGTGAAATAATGCAACTCATCAGATTGTTAGATGAGTTGGGTGAATCTGATCAATATATTTTTACTATATTCTTTCACATTTAGGTTCTAAAGACCAGATTGGCTGTAAGTCAAACTAGACAGTATTCAGGCATGGTTGATTGTGGCAAGAAGCTTCTGAAACAAGGTGTCAGAAAGTTTTTCAAAGGTTATATTCTGAACTTGGTAGGCATTATACCTTATGCAGGCATAGATCTTGCTGTTTATGAGGTAAGTTTATTCTCATAATAGGACATTATGTATTAGATTTGAAAATATGGCACAATAACAGTTTTTTAGTCTCAAAATCTGGTTGTAAATTACTTTTCATAAAGTAGCTTCTAATTAAGAAATGAATTGAATGGTTTTATTTGACTTTTCATTTTTTTGTGTTGGGAGTCTGGTTTTCTAACAGTAATTTTTGTTTGGTGGGTTTTTTTTCATAAATTATATTTTGGTAATAATAATTATGGACCTAAATTCTGATAAAATAGTGGTTTTCAACCCAGGCTACATATCAGAATCACCTGTGGATCTTAAAAAAAAAAAAAAAAAAAAAGAATTCTAGGGCCACATCCTGAGACATTCTGATTGAATTAGTCTGGGGAGAGGCTTGGGATTCATCTTTTTTAATACCCCAGGAGACAATGTACAGCTAAGATTGAGAAAACTAAGATATTATTACATAGTTGTGAAAATTAAGAATCAAGAAGAGGAGTAACGGAGAGGAATGGAGGCAGCATGGAAATAGGGAAAAATACTAATACTGATCAAGCCGGACTCTAGTTTACTCCCCTTTTGACCAGTTATTTCATTTTATGACCACATATCCATTTCAGACAGACCATCTTAACAACATATGCCCCTTGGTTATAAGAACTAGGTGAGAGTGTGTGATTAGAATAGCCCAAATTCATTCTCAACACAGGAACGGCAACTCTCTGGGCATAGGCACCGTGATATTTTTGGCAAGTGGTGTCACCATCATGTGAAAGATAGCCTTTCATTGATCACATTTAAAAATATGCTTATATTTTTTGTATAAGTGTAAAATATTAAGTATTACAGCATGCATTTCTTTTCCTTTTTTTTTTTTTCCTTGCTTCTGTGATCTTATTAAAGTAAGTCAGTTGCTGTTGTTTAGGTTGGGCTTCTTCCATTCTTTCATTTGTATAGTTCAATATCTTGCTCTCATACCAGACTGATACCACACATTTCTTTCTCTGTTGTTGCATGATTGTAATAAATGCATACTGAGTAAAGACATCTTGAAATTTACTTTTTCAAAGCATCAAATTACACATTTTACAGTAATTGTCCCACTGTATAAGGGTAAAGTGGCTATCTTTAATAACATGAAAAGTTCTAAAAGCACTCAGTGATTATATAAAAGTTGTGATAAAGTTTGATAATGTTTTAAACCAAGTATTTCTGAAATAATTTCTCCCAGCCATTTTTATTCAAGGGAAAGAAAATCTGGAAAGGTGAATCTTTCTTAAAAGTTGATAAGATGTGGTTTTGTCAGCCTAGAATGGATTGTGCAGATGTCCTCTCCACAATATTCTGTTAACACCTCTGAGAATCTCCAGAATTTTGTTTGGGTCTTTGAATATTATTACAAACCAAACCAAACAAACAAAACACACACAGAGACACAAACATAGGAGGACCAGAATGAAGTTGTATGAGTTTGTTTATTTGAAAATATCTGTGGACCTTCTCCCCTTCTGTATAGCTCGGAGTGGGGATCAATCTTTCGTAAAGATTTTGGAAAGAACACTGTTATTGAAATCAAGTGACAAAGCTTGACTTTCATTTATAAGCTTTGTAACTGGTCCAGATAACTGAGTCTCTCTGACTTAGGTTCCTCATTTATGAAATTTATCAAATGGAACAACAATATTGACCTGTCAAGTTTTTGTAGGGGTTAAATGAGATAACTTCTGTGGAAATTCTCAGTATATACTTTCATAAAGAAATTGCTCAAGAAGTTGAAAGGGAGTGAACAAAGACTAACAGTAGTTAAAGGATATTTACTACTTTCTTCTCTGCCAGCTTTTGAAGAATTATTGGCTAGAACATTATGCAGAAGGCTCCATAGACCCTGGGATAATGATTTTGTTGGGATGTTGTACATTGTGTAACACTTGTGGTCAGTTAGCCAGCTTCCATCTGAACCTAATTAGCACTCGAATGCAGACTCAAGGTGAGATGTTTTTTGTTTGTTTAATGAAGTAATAATAACTAAGTTAAAAAGCATGTTTTAAATGAGTAGAAATTAATGATTTCAAAATCAGAAAAACTGTAGAAATGATAAATAAATCAAAAGCTAAATCTTTGATTTTTAAAGCATGAATCTTGAATTTATGTTTTATTGACTAGAACCGTTTGTAGTTTATAGATTTTAGTTCTTCTCCCAAGTTCTTGTTGGAACTCTCCACATTTCCTTCAGTTACTGATGGTCTCTTTAAGGAGGTTGCGATTAGGATGTACCATGTACTATGTACAGAAAAGATTTTGCTTTCTTCAGATTGAATCAATAGTTACTCATTTGTGAACATGTAACTTTCCCCCATTTCAATTTGTGAAATTGAACTCAATTATTTTGTGTTCTGATCAACTTAGGGAAGAGATATTAAGCAGTAAGAAAGGATATCTGTTTTGCTTCTTTCAGATTGAAATGTTAGTAATTTAGATTTTAAGAAAATACCTTTATCACCTTTCAAGGAAAAAAAAAAAAAAAAACACAGCCCATATAATCCCATTATTATCTTCCTGAGTAAAATATTTAAGAAGTCATGTGGTAAGTGATATTTTTCTACATTCTTCTCTTTCTGTTTTTAGTTAGTATTTTAAATTTAATTTATATTGTAATTCAGGTGGAGAATCTCTCTATCCATCCAATCACCCATCCATCCTTCTATCAAACTATGTCATACCCAGTTCCAAAAGCTCCTTTGAGGTCTGTTATGAAAGACCTTTAAGTACTTCTGTGATGACGTGTCTAGCCACTAGTATCACATAGCTATCAAAAGCTTGAAATGTTGCTAGTGCATCTGAGAAACTTGAGTTTTTAGTTTTATTTAATTTTAGTAATTAACATTTAAGAAACCCTGGTGGCACAATGGTTAAGTGCTCAGCATCTAACCAAAAGGTTGACAGTTTGAACCCACCTGTTGGCTCTGTGGGAGAAAGACCTGGCAATCTGTTTCTGTAAAGATTACAGCCAATAAAACCCTATGGGGGAGTTCTCCTCTGTCACGTGGGGTTGCTTTGAGTTGGAATTGGCTCAACCGTACCAATAAAAAAAATTTAAATTTAAAATTAAATTTAAATAGATGTAAGTGTCTAGTGGCTACCATATTAGATAGCACAGGACTGTTCTATGAGGGAGAGAGCGGTATACTCTGAAGTAATTTGGATCTCTGTAAATTCTCATTTATCATTGGAGTGTCTTAATGCATACCGATTAAATATTGAATTATACTGATTTTTTCCTCATTATATAGCCCAGGTGGAAGGAGGACCAACACCTTCTATGATTCATCTCATTCAAGAAATACATCGCAGAGATGGAAAAAGGGGATTTTTCAGGGGTGTTACCCTAAACCTCATAAAAGTGCTTCCTGCAGTAGGCATCAGCTGTGTGGTTTATGAAAAAGTGAAATCCCATTTTGGATTAACCTAAAAGTGAAATATTGAATTGTTGTCATTGCCACAATCACTTAATTGTGTCATAAAACCTGGGTTGTAAAGAAATATTTATCTTTCCATAAAAGGAAAGACAGTATCAAATAATTGTTAAATCATTTTCTCTTTATTTTATATATTACAATATCTATAAATTATCATTTTGATAAAGTTCTTTAGTAACTTAAAATCCTTAATATCTGCAGAATTCCCACTTTTCTCCCTTGAATCTGACTTGAAATTTGTTTTTGATTGGATTTATACATACCATACAGTAACATTATCAGTCATTTGGTCAGTTGTCACAGGTTATGCTAACCTTTTTGTATTTAAACACTTTGTTTAAAAAGCTGAGCTTGAAATGTTTTATACACTAAAAGAAAAATCAGTGCATTTAAAATTGATTTTATATCAAACAATCAGTCTCTGTTTCTCTTCTTTAAGCAAAATGGAAAGTTTTTATAGTTTTATAAATCCTTCTGTCAGATTGTGGATAGGATAATAACATATTTCTTTCTTCTCTGGGCACTTTTATTTATACATACAGTTGGCTCATTTTGATTCTTGCTATTTTTCAGCTTTTATGAGGAAGTCAGCATTGAGAACACATCAGCATTGGACAAATTTTCTTTTGTCTTCTGGTTGAGATGAATTTTAAGTTAAATTCATTATTTCATACTTATTGAAGCAGTTTGTATTTCAGATTAGGAGTTGGTTGAGTTAACCCTTTGGAATCCCAAATATCTGCTCCTAGCTTTTATGAAAAAATGAATCGTATTCTCTGCTGGAATTAAGTAAAAGTGTGGTGAGATAATGGCAATGGGCTGGTTGGCCACAAATAGGCATCAAATGAAGAACTGCCTAATGAAACTGACTAAAGTCCAGGGTTTGATCTTCAGCCTTGCCAAACTAAAAACTTGACTTTTTCATTACTTCTGAAATTATAGTTTCTTGGTGGTTGATTAATTAAAATTACTCTGAAGGCTACGATAGAGATCACAATGCAAAGCTATTTCCTTTTAGTAGAGCTTAATACTTTCCATTAACCAGAATACTTCCATACCTTTTCCAGGGCTTACCTTTTCCTGGTATCAGGATACTTGGGAAACCAAATAAGTAATGAGAAGATTGATGTGGAATTAAAACAAAGAGAGGAAGATATTTTTTTGAGGAATGTTTTACTCAGGGCCCTCACAAGTAAAGTGGGAAAAGTTGGGAGGGGAGCTGAGACCTGAAGCAAGAGAGAAGAGAGAATTGTGGCACTTGAGCTCAACTAAGCCACAGACCACAGGAAGGGAAAAAGGCAAATCTCATGTAAATTCTGGCAGCGCATGTGTAAGAAACTTGAGTAATGGTGGTGGTTGTACACATAGATTTTTTTTAAATGTAAATATACATGCAACAAAACATTTGCCATTTCAACATTCTTCTCATGTGCAGTTCTGTGATACTATATTTATCATGTTTTTCAACCATCACCATCATCTGTTTCCAAATTTTTCCATCACCCTTAACAGAAGCTCAGCAATGAGTCCCCCTTTTCTCTTCTCTCCTGTGCACCCTGG